GATTCTGACACCATTGGCATCCAGACTAACTGCTGGAGGGTCTGCCTAGTACAGCTGCTCACAACAGTCAATCCAATATTTACAAATCTAACCTAACACGAACTGAGATGACTTGTCCATCCATTGAGTGGACTGCAGTCATCTGTGAGGAGAGCTTTGAGTTTTCTCATGGCTTGGTTGGCAGGGCGAATGTCATTTACTAAGAAATGACATTCATCTTCCCCATCAAGATTCCTGATGAATTGTTCCTTGTCCCTTCTAGGCAGTGTCTGAGCCTTGCGCACCAAGGAGTAGCGCAAATCCTGTTATATATATATATATATATATATATATATATATATATATATACATATATATATCTATGTATATATGTATATATGTATATATGTATATATATATATATATATATATATATATATATATATATATATATATATGTATCTGTGTAGCCGCTGTTATCAACATTGGCATGGCGTACCCGCTGGCATCAGCATCACGTGTATAACATCTGTAGCCACTGCCATCAGCATCGGCATGGCGTAGCTGCTGGTTTCAGCATCACGCGTACATCATCCCCTCTAGGACTTGGTTGACGGTTTCTTCATGGGTTGCGATAAGGATAATGCCATGGCCGTGTTCCTCCATGTGTTTGTATGTGCTGAATTAGGCCTTGTCCCTAGTGTTGACGTATAAATGAAGGAAGGGCGTCTCACGAAAGGGGGGCCATCACAGGTTATAGAACAGTTTGAGAGTGAATACTGGCTCGACAACACGTACATAAGGACCGATCTGTGGACTTCTGTTAAAGGCCTTGACTGTTCCCGCTATGCGTATGTATCATACACATTCATGTATAGATATACATTAGTGTAAGTGTATGTTGTTGCTTACCTAAAGCAGTAGGGTATAATGACATTCTCAGCAAACAGTAAAATGTATGTATGTATTATAACTACTGATATGATCTTGTTAGTGAATCTAAGTCGAATTGTAACAGCAATTATGATTATTATTGCATGATTGATATTGTATTGATTATGTATTGATTACAGGTTTGACCGCATTCAAATAAATTGAGAAGCGAGTACGACGCAGTGGTATCAGTCACCTCGAGTTAACGCAAATAATCTAAGCGCGTGAAATGGCGCTTACAGTCAAACGCAGAGGGAGATCGTTGCTGTTACTTTGCCGTGACGATAAAGAGACAGACGGAAGGAGCGATCTGCGGTAAGTCTACGGAAGTGCACGGTGTTTGACGGGCGATTATTATGTGACAGAAACATCATAGCTGTGTACGAGTGTACGAATCGAACATATGATCAAGCTAATTTGTGATTAGTTTTTTGGTGAAAAGTAACAAAGTTTTGAGGGACGCAGAGGGAGATCATTGCTGTTACGTTGCCGTGACGATAAAGAGACGGGCGGAAGGAGCGAACTGCGCTAAGTCTACGGAAGTGACACGGTGTTTGACGGGCGATTATTGTGAGGCAAAAATATTATGGCTATGAACGAGTGCACGGATCGAACATATGACCAAGCCTATTTATGATTAGTTTTCGGAGAAAAGTAACAAAGATTTGAGGATGGCTATTTATGATTAGCGAACCCGGGAAACTGTTTCTGCACGCTAAGGGAGTGAAATGCTTGAATTTGATGCAATATGTCATGGAGGAAGTTTCTTGTTAGTGACATTAGCGACCATGGCCCTCGTGCACGCAAGTGCTCGTGTTTAGGAGAAAGGTGAAATAGGTAAACTGAATGAATGAGCGAAAAATAACCTATAAGTCGGAGCTGAATCAAAGAAACGGAGTAGTTGGAAAGAAGCAACACTGGTTTCCCGCCCATTACATGTTATTATTTGGATTTTAAAGGTGATGCAAAAGGTAACTAACTCTGGAGGACATAGCAAGCCTCAAGAATTAATCGGTAATACTTCTCACAGAGACCTTTTGATGAAAACATAAAACTGAAGATGCTAAAATGAAAGAATGTGAAATAATGTGGAAAGAGGAAACGGAGGTATTAGAGTATGAGAGAGAGGCAGTTAATCAAAAATGAAAGGTATGTAGCTCACGCTAGGCTTGGGATGGCAAAGAAAATTAGAAGGGGATTAGGTCCCAAAAGTCGTGAGTTCTTATGATCAAGAGATATCTCAAGTTCCGAGGTTTGAAGGGTTTAGTAATCCTTATGATTCCAGGCGATACGGCTTACGTGACAACGGAACATAAGATGAAAACAAATACCAAGGCCGGAGTATAAATGCCTGTAAATATGGAGACCTTCCAGATATGCCCAATTTGAATTTCATAGCAAAAATGGACTCGTTCGTCAAAGAGATGCAAATACCCAATATGGATATTGGGCCATTTGATGGTAACTCTCTTGACTTCAATAGATTTATGAGACGGTTTCAAACAAAGGTGCTAAACTACTGCACTTCCTATGATGCACGTTTAAGCTACTTAGAACCATTTACCACAGGGGAAGCAAGAGAAAGAATACAAGAATTTACGAGCATGAATCCAGAAAGGGGGTATGAGGCAGCCTTGAAAGAACTTGAGGATTGTTATGGGAATGATGACGTTATGGCCCGGGCTTAGATCAAGAAGGCTCTGGATTGGCCAGTAATCAAGGGAAATGATGTTGGAACTCTTGACAAATTTTCCATGTTTCTCGCAGGATGTGAGTGTGATATATTAAGTATGGATTCAGTTAAAACTTTAGGAAGCCCAGATAACATGAGAAAACTTGTTATGGAATTGCCATACAACATGCAAGAAAGGTGGTGTGCAACTGTCTGTGAGAAAGGTGATGCCTCTAAGCCTATAGTATTTTCAGACTTGGCAGAATTCGTTTCAGGGGAAGCCAAGAAAGCCAGGCATCCCATCTATGGTATAGAGTAACTAAACGAGGGTAAAATTAATAACCCTATGATGAGACAAGCATTTGCTACGCAAGTCCAAGAAAGGGAATTTTGAGAGAAGTAGTGATGAAGACTACGAAAATGGGTGTCATCAATGTAAGGGAAATCATAGGCTACTTAACTGTAAAAGGTTTAAGGAATTTGAATATGAAAGGAAAGTTGAGCTAATAAGGGAAAAGAAATTGTGCTTCTCATGCTTGAGAACTGGTCGTGGTAATGTTTCAAGAAGGAAATTTGCCTTGGGTGCAGTGAAGAACAACCCACAATAATGCATGTGGAGAGAATGTTTGATGAGGTTAACAAATACACCACCACAGGAGGAAATTGGGAATCTAAGGGCTGAATTCGAGAAATTAAAAATTGAAAAGATAACATTACAAAGGAAGTCTGAGCAACAAGAAGTTCAAAATCCCAAAGAGGTGGTAAACATGAATGCAGAAGATTGCCATACATTGTCAGAGGGAACAGACAAAATGGCCGCCTTAGCAATCACATCAGGGAAAGTAAAATGGAAGAATAGTCACAAAACCACACAGACACTGGCATTCTTAGATCCGGGTTCAACTACACCTATTTGTTCAGAGAAACTAATGAATGAGCTGGAGTGTAAGGGAAAGGGAATCACATGCAACTTGGAGACCCTTAATGGGGAAAGGAAGGTGAGCTCTACGGTACTGAAGGATCTACAAATTGGTGCCTTGGCAGGAAGCAATTTGGTAGACTTATAAAATGTTCATTCTCAGTACAATATAAATATTTGCAGAGGGTTTATGTCTTCAAGGGAAGGCTTAAAAAAGAGGCCACATTTAAAGGACGTAGAGATTCCACAATCCGATGGAGAAGTGAATCCGTTGATCGGAAACAATAACCTATAAGCATATAGACCATTAAAAATTGTATCAGGAAAGGAATACTGCCCAGTTGCTGCCTAAACAAGAATAGGTTGGGTAATATGGGGTCTACTGAAGTGACAGGGAGCGGATCTTGTAACATCTTACAAAACTGGTATGGCAGAACTTAGTAAGAATGAAGAACGAAAAGGGCTCGACCATTTGGTAAGAGAACTAATCAACATGGAGTTCCCAGAACTGATAATAGATGATAAAGGGGAAAATTCATTAAAGGATAAGTTGTTTTTAAGTAAAGTTCAAGATTCAATGAAACTTGTGGATGGCAACTACGAGATGGAGTTACCATTCTATGACGAAGAGATGAAGATTCCAAATAATCAGAATTATGCAAAATTAAGACTGCAGCATCTTGAAAACAGGTTCAGCAAAATCCAAGGATTTGCTTAAGAATATGCAGCTTTTATGGCAAAATTAAATGACAATGGATACGTTGAACAAGGGCCTGAATCAGAGATAAGCAGAAATGACGGAAAGGTATGGTATATTCCTCACCATGGAGTATACCACCCAAGAACAGCGAAGTTGAGAGTGGTCTTTGATTGCTCAGCTAAGTACTTAGATGGCTCATTGAATGATCATTTACTTCACGGTCCAAATCTAGCTACCAAGCTTCACAACATGTTACTCAGATTTAGAAAGGAACCTGTAGCCATCATGGGTGACATTGAGTGTGTTTTATCAAGTTGAAGTTCCTGAGAAGCATAAGGATTTCTTACGTTTCTGTTGGTGGCCAAAGGGTGACTCGAACATAGAACCTAAAGTGTTTAGAATGACTGTACATTGGTTCGGTGCAATATCTAGCCCCGCCTGTGCTAATATGGCTTTGAGACAAGTCGTAATAGACAGTCAGGGGCTTTGGGATGATGAGGTAATGAAATGTATTAGTGAATACTTCTATGTTGATGATTGCTTGAAATCTGTACCAACGTCAAAAGGAGCTATTGATATGATCATGGATTTAAAAGATTTATGCAAAAGGGGAAAATTTAATCTAAGAAACTGCATCAGTAACAGCAAGGATGTACTGGAATCAATTCCAGTAGAAGATTGCATACATCAAATGGACACATTAGGTCTAGATATACAGACAGGGTTCCACGTGATGGAATTTGGAGGAGCCTCAGACTGAAAGGAGAGCCAGAGTATATTGTCATGTGCATACTGTTATGAGTATATTGTTAGAGGGTTGGAGAGAAAGGTTAGAGGATAGAGGACGCAGGATCAGCAGACTGAAGACGGAATGCATGAAATGCCACTTCGGAGAGGAGGATGAGCAGGAGGTGGATTTGGAAATAGACCTAGAAGTACTCAGAGAGACTGATATCTTCACGTACCTAGGGTCTATGGTGCAACATGATGGAGGGGTGGAAGCAGAGATTACAAATATGATACAAAGTGGATGGAGGAATTCGAGGAAGTGTGCTGGAGTAATGACGGATAAGAGAATGAGCATGAGGCTAAAGAGAAGGATCTACACTAGTGTAATAAGACCCGCACTCACCTAGGGAGCAGAGACCTGGGCAAACACCAAGAGAGAAAGGAGCGCCTGGATGTGAACGAAATGAGAATGCTGCGATGGACTCGCGGGGTGACAATAAGGGACAGAGTGTCTAACCGCCACTTTAGAATCTCTACACGTCACTGAGGTGGCCAGGAAGATAAAGAGAGGAGATTAGTTTTGGTTTGGACATGTCGAGCAAAGAGAGGAGGAGCACTGCCTGAAGCGTGTGTCAGCAGGAAGAGGGGTCCCCGGAAGAAGAGGGGTGGGAGGACCAAGGATGAGATGGAAGGATTGTGTGAGCTGGGATATGAGGGAAGCAGGATTGAACAGAGAGATGGTCCAGGATAGAAACAACTAAAGGCGTCAATTGAGGGACTATTTCAGCGACCCCGTATAGTCGGGAAAAGCTTGTAGAAGAACATCTAGATATGCAGAATTTGCCCACAGAGGGGGCTCTTGGACTCGTGTGGTCGGTCACCACAGATAGCTTCGAGTTCAAAAGAAATATAAGAGATAGAGAGGAAAATGGAAGAGGAACGCTGTCAATGGTTGGTTCCTAGTGCGACCCCTTGTACAGAAGGGGACTGATGTGGATGGGCCCATGCCTGATGGGGAATCAAAGGAGTATGGGAAATGGATAAAACCATAGATTCCCTGGAGAATACTAAGGTTCCAGGATGCTCAAGGAAAGTGCAAGCTGAAGGTGCTTATGTACAATTACATTGTTCGCTGATGCAAGCTATAGTGGGTATGGCGTTGCTATATATGTAAGACTCCAATACTCAGAGCATCGATTGTGCTCATGTGGTAAGGAAAATGGCGGGTCCTCATGCATTGAGGAAAATAACGGGTCCTCATGTGATGAGGAAAATAACGGGTCCTCAGGTAGTGAGGAAAATAACAGGTCCTCATGTGATGAGGAAAATAACGGGTCCTCATGCATTGAGGAAAATAACGGGTCCTCAAGTAGTGAGGAAAATAACGGGTCCTCAGGTAGTGAGGAAAATAATGGGTCATGTGCTGAGGAAAATAACGGGTCCTCATGTGATGAGGAAAATAACGGGTCCTCATGTGATGAGGAAAATAACGGGTCCTCATGTGATGAGGAAAATAACGGGTCCTCATGTGATGAGGAAAATAACGGGTCCTCATGCATTGAGGAAAATAACGGGTCCTCATGCATTGAGGAAAATAACGGGTCCTCATGCATTGAGGAAAATAACGGGTCCTCATGTGATGAGGAAAATAACGGGTCCTCAGGTAGTGAGGAAAATAACGGGTCCTCAGGTAGTGAGGAAAATAACGGGTCCTCAGGTAGTGAGGAAAATAACGGGTCCTTATGTGATGAGGAAAATGACTGGTCCTCATGGCATGAGGAAATTAACAGGTCTTCATGTGGTGGGGAAAATAACGGGTCCTCGTGTGATGAGGAAAATAATGGGTCTAATTAATGATCACAAAGTTTCTGCTAAAATTAGAGCACTCCAGAGAAATCTGTGTTCATGCATGTCCTGCCCGTGCTCGTAATAGAGTCTCTGTTCCGTTTTTCTGCCGTATCCTTGCTGTTGCAGATCCCGAGAACATGATGCGATGCAGAGTTCCTGCCAGATTACTTCCCTGATGACTTCCCTGTGTGATGGGATGACGTCATGGAAAGATGTGTCCTGACTTGTCATCATAACTGATGTCTACGCCACTGCCTGGAAATCACTGCCTCCTTGGCTGACATTCATCGGTAGCAAAGGATCCTGTCTTAATAGTTGACATTCTGGTGCATAGTGATTTGTTTGATGACTGATACGTGAGGGTGCTTAATGAGTGGAGCCATGTTGCATCGGCATCCTAGTGAAACCTTTGGAAAAACTGTAGATGAAAACTTCGACGAGAACCTTCAGATAATCATTCAGCAAAAACACATACACATTTGCAGTACAGAAACGATCGTTACCAAGTGTAAGGCATAATGTTTTTAGTCGCTGTCTTTGCCTGAGTGATTGCTTGTATCCCGATCCTGGTATATATATGGTAGAACCTACAACGCCATAACACACATTGTATTGCTGAGTCCTGGAGAGGTTTTTTAATCTCGGCGGCCAAAAGTTCTGGGAGGAGTTCAATTTTTGTATACAAGAGGTTGCATTCTCTCCCTGTGACTGGGGCGTGGAGTTTTTTCCCTTGTCCGGCAGCCATACAGATGAGGATCATTATAACTGATCGTTAATTCGTGGGAGATCTGATGTTCGGTTTGCCCCTGTTGTTAATGATATAGAAACCATGAAGACAAGGCAAAGGGATATGAGAAAATATAGGATTCAAGCTCTGCTGTGCATCTGTGGTAACAATGCTCTGTCTAACTCATTTCGGAAGTGATGTATATGAGGAATATAGAAGAGCTTCTCGGGGGTGGCGGTCTATGCCAAAACCTGGACTATACCGTTCCCAGCGCCGGGCAAGAGTTTTGTGTTGTTTGAGACACTCCGTGCTCAATCAATGGGGGGAGTGTAGCCGCTGTTATCAACATTGGCATGGCGTACCCGCTGGCATCAGCATCACGTGTATAACATCTGTAGCCACTGCCATCAGCATCGGCATGGCGTAGCTGCTGGTTTCAGCATCACGCGTACATCATCCCCTCTAGGACTTGGTTGACGGTTTCTTCATGGGTTGCGATAAGGATAATGCCATGGCCGTGTTCCTCCATGTGTTTGTATGTGCTGAATTAGGCCTTGTCCCTAGTGTTGACGTATAAATGAAGGAAGGGCGTCTCACGAAAGGGGGGCCATCACAGGTTATAGAACAGTTTGAGAGTGAATACTGGCTCGACAACACATACATAAGGACCGATCTGTGGACTTCTGTTAAAGGCCTTGACTGTTCCCGCTATGCGTATGTATCATACACATTCATGTATAGATATACATTAGTGTCAGTGTATGTTGTTGCTTACCTAAAGCAGTAGGGTATAATGACATTCTCAGCAAACAGTAAAATGTATGTATGTATTATAACT